AAAACGCCTTACTATACATGGTCGTTTTTTTCGGCTACAAACGCCTTACTACACATGGTCGTTTTTTTCGTTCAAAAATGCCTTAATATACATGGTCTTTTTTTTCAGCCCAAAAACGCCTTATTAAACATGGTCGGGTTTTTTTTTGGGCCCAAAACGCCTTACTATACATGGTCGTTTTTTTTTTTGGGCCCAAAATGCTTTGGTTGTCAGAAAAAGCCTTCCAAAAAATGCAAACTCTGCAGACGATGGCCAAGACCTGGATTTGAACCCTGCACCTCTGCACTGTAACGCCAACACACTAACCAGTCAACCACGGTGGCGTTGCTGAAAAACGCCTTACTATACATGGTCGTTTTTTTTTTGGCCCAAAACGTCTTACTATACATGGTCGTTATTTTCGGCCAAAAACGCCTTACTATCCATGGTCGTTTTTTTCGGCCAAAATATCCTTCCTATACATGGTCGTTTTTTTCAGCCAAAATTGCCTTACTATACATGGTCGTTTTTTTTCGGCCAAAAACGCCTTACAATTCATGGTCGTTTTCTTTCGGCCAAAAACGCCTTACTATAAATGGTCCTCTTTTTCAGACAAAAACGCCTTACTATTCATGGTCATTTTTTTTTCAGCTAAAAATGCCTTACTATACATGGTCGTTTTTTTTCGGCTAAAAACGCCTTAAAATACATGGTCGTTTTTTTCGGCCAAAAACGCCTTACTATACATGGTCGTTTTTTTCGGCTAAAAACGCCTTAAAATACATGGTCGTTTTGCTAGACGCCTTGCTAGAGTAAGGTGTTTTTAGCCGATAAAAAAACTACCATGTTGTAAGGCGTTTTTGGCCGAAGAAAATGAACAGGCGTTTTGTGAATTGTTCCTCGGTGTGAGTGTGAGCGCGAATAGTTCTGCGGAGAAGAGGATCAGAAAATGGATGGCGAAGAGAATGCACAGGAAGGCCGGAATTGAACCCTGCACCTCTGCAGCGCGGGATGAACACACTAACCATTTGACTACCAGGCAGGGAATGAATACTCTGTATTGTTCCTCGTGTGAGCGCGAATAATTGTGCGAGGAAGAGAATCATAAAATGGGTCGCAATGCATGTTTTTAAGAACGCACAGGAAAGCCAGAGCTGGATTCGAACCCTGCACCTCAACACTGACGCACTAACCATTCGACTACTCGGGAGGTCATGAACACTCTTAGGGTTTCCAAGTCAGATTTGGAAGTCCTGGGCTTCAGACTCAGTTTTATGTCCGGATGTTGAGTATATTGGTGACGTGATCTTGTTTTTGTGTGTGTGCAGAGGAGGCTCGTGTGGCGCACGGCGGTCCGTCGGGTCGGTCGTACATGGAGCAGAGCTTTCACGGGCTGAACCCGGTGCTGCGTCTGCCGCTCAGCTTGGCTGCGATGGAGGAAGCGGAAGCCAACGCCAGCCTGACTGGGGCGCCGCTATGCCGCTGGCTGGATCGCCTCCTGTCTGGCTTCTGGGCGGCTGCCGGCGTGTGTGCCGCCGGCCCCGCCCCCACCGCTTGCCCCATCCTGCCTCGCTGCCGCCGCACCGCCTGGAGCTCGGACAGCCCCGATCCCAAATCCCAATTGGGGCCCGCAAGGCCTGACGGACGCATCAGGTAGCCCCAGGAGCCTTTGTGTACTTTTATTTTGAAGGTCCGCACGCCTTCACTGTCGCACTCGAGTGCTGAAAAGATTTTGCATTTCAGTGGGTAGATTTGTCCTCCTACTGAAATTGGTCACCTTTATTTATTCACGAATTCATTTTCATATTATGTCATTTAATATCACACATACTCCTAAAATATTCATTCAGATGCATTTTTTAATTTATAAATTTGTTATTCATTGATCTCATTTAATTGTGATTTACTGTAATATGATCATGTTCTTACGTAATTTATTGTTTATATTTTATTCATTCTAAATAATAGAATACAAAGGATAATTAGATATTTCATTGGTAGTTTTATATTCTAACTCATATTTTTTAATTTTATGAAATTAATAAGGATTATATCAAAGCACAATTTTTCCATGAGCAGAATTGCTAATTGATAGTTTTAATTAATTTATATCTCATGATTGGCGAATAAGCAGAAAACGGGCAAAATAAACAATTTTACATGTAACAATGTGGTACTCATTAGTTGGTTCATTACAATTAAAGACAGAATAAAAAATTGGAATTCAAATGCACTGTTGGCAATTTTAAAGATTAAAATAAAAGCACAAATGATTTTCTCCACCCCGATTTGGCCGTTTGCCGAATGACGTAAAAAAGCGAAACGGTGCTTTTGACGGGATGACTGCTCACTTCCTGCCTCTGTTTTGCGGAGAGTGACGTCACTAGATTATTGTGTGTGTGTGTGTGTGTGTGTGTGTGTGTGTGTGTGCGTGCGTGCGTGCGTGGATGTGGGCACTTTCCGGTGTTGGGCCCCCAAGGAGCAGCCGGTGCTCAGGTAGGCACAAGACAGACGCAAAGATATTTATTGATTTATGTTGGAATGTATTGACAAAGTATTTATTTGCTATGACCATGGCAAACACGGAACGTTTCATTGCAGTGTGCCTCAAAGGAGTCCCTTGTGAGACTCATTCTTGGGAAAAAAAAAAAAAAATTGACAAAGACCAGGCAAAAGTAGAAAATGGTGACTGAAAGGTGAACACTGTGAGATTTCAAGCTGCCTCACATTTTTGGACTTGTGTATTTAAGATGAGAACTTCATACAAATGTTTATTTAAGTATGTTGCATATTTGTCATGAACTGAAAAGACTTCTTTTTTGTTTGTCGCTGCTCTTTGTCGACACTTGCGACGGTGCCTTTTGTATTCCACATGGACAGACGCCTTCAAACAGCAACTTTGGCAACAAAATAAACAAACAACCCAGACGAAGAAAATACTGTCTCCTTTTTTTTTTTGTTTTTGTATTTTTAAGTTCTATATTTGCGGAAGCCTATTGCTGACCTTGAACATTTGTGATGAAAACCACATTTGAACTTGATCATTTACTTACCGAGTTCTCTAATGTTAAAACTCATCAGGTTAAAATGTAAAGACATCATTCTGTGTGACAATTGACCCGTAAGTGTTGTGTTTCTTGATGTTGAATACAAATTCGGTTGCTCCCCCCAGAAAAAAAAAGGTGGTGGCACAAGCACCGAAGCTCAGCGCATCAACAGCCGGATGACACGAGTCCACCCCAGTGAGGTTGTTTTCTTTTTGCTATATTTGAAGAAAGTATGGCACATATTTACACAAACGGCGGCGGCTTCTTCTGGTCACTTCTTGGACAGCTTGGCCTGTTTGTTTTTGGGAGGCGCCCACTTGAGGCACAGCGTGTCCACTGCACGACAAGGAGATGGCGTTACTTGGGGGCGGGCGCGACGTGACACGTGAGGGCGGTGGGCGCGCCGCGTAAGGCAACTCACCAGTGATGGGCGGCTTCTTGTACTGGGCGCTCTTGAGGTGCTCCTCCACAAGTTTGGGCGTGACGCAAATGACGTGTTGGCCTTTCCAGTATTTGACCATGTTAAGCGACTGCAGCGTGCTGATGATGTCGCTCTGCGTGATACTCGTCATCTGGCTGCAAAAAGCAACAATGGGGAATTTTTGGGGGATGCTTTTCAAGATCACCAGTTCCACTAACATGTTTTGTACGGTTAACCAGCCAATCGCAGGGCACACAGAGACGAACAACCATTTGCGCTCCCAATCAGACCGAAGGTCAATTTCGAGCAGGGGTGTCAAACTCATTATTGTCGCGGGTCACTTTGGAGTTACGTCTTCCCTCAGAGGGCCAAATTCGTGTTTAATCATCACATAGAATTGTTATTCATACATAACAAATTGATGGATTACTAGTTTTGAAATCAGTCAACTATATGTTTGTTCACTTATTGTTCAAGTGAGTGTAAAGAGGGCCCGAAAATTATCACAAAATCTCAATGTTATTTATTACACCTGACAATTTGACAAGTCTGTACAAATTTTAGAAATGATCATGGAAGTTGACACACATGATCTGCTTTCGCGGGCCACATAAAATGACGTGGTGGGCCAGATCTGGCCCCGGGGCCTTAAGTTTGACGCATTTGTTGTAGAAATATGTAATCGCTAATATTTACTAGTAATTTCCATTTATTTCATTCGGGTGTCAAACTCATTATTGTCGCGGGTCACTTTGGAGTTACGTCTTCCCTCAGAGGGCCAAATTCATGTTTAATCATCACGTAGTATTGTTATTCGTATACAACAAATTGATGGATTACTAGTTTTGAAATCGGTCAACTATATGTTTGTTCACTTATTGTTCAAGTGAGTGTAAAGAGGGTCCGAAAATTATCACAAAATCTCAATGTTATTTATTCCACCTGACAATTTGACAAGTCTGTACAAATTTTAGAAATGATCATGGAAGTTGACACACATGATCTGCTTTCGCGGGCCACATAAAATGATGTGGCGGGCCAGATCTGGACCC